CAGGGTTTTTTCGGTTTAAACGACATTATACAGGGTTTGTTTGACCGTTTTTCCAATTAAAATTTCCTTAGCAGATGTTTAAAACGTATTTTTAATAAAAATAGTTTATTATAAATACATTTTATAGTCTCGTGCGAAGCACGGGAGAAATACTAGTAAAGTGTATAATTGGAAAGATAGAAAATTTATTTACTATTTCATATCAATGTACTTTTTGTAAAATACGTAAATATCTTTTAAATGGAAAAGTTTGTGAAAAATAGAAGAAAACACTTAAAAAAGAAGAAGTTAAATTCCAATACATGACCAAATTGGAAAAAATGGAAAATTTTGTGAAATAATAAACATTAAAAACTGGAAAAATTCATATTAACAACAAAAGTAAAATGATCTTAATTTTAACTGTTGATGTGACACGATACTATTGATTTATTTAAATTATATGTGGACGCCTTTAGGAGCTAATAGGCTCAACTTTTATATTGTATAAACTAGGTTTTGTATCCACGCAAGTTTGTGTTTGTGTTACCAATATATGGGTTTAACATATATGTTTGGACTTCCTAATTTTTAAATAAATGCTACCGAGGAGCCACTAGCGTCATATTTATATTTTTTCTTCCCAGACTTTCACATCTACTACAAAATACATTCACCTCTTCATCGCTACAAGTGCTTAAACGAAAGAAGCAAAAATATTGCGTCATCTTTTTGTTGGGGTGGTTGGTAATATGCATTATATATGGCGGAAAACACTGAAAAGATGGGACCATGCCCCCCCCCCCCCCCTACATTTTTAAAAAACTAAATATGAGTATTTTAATTTCAAAAATTTGTGATAATTAAGCGATTATCTCTTCTTCTTTTTTTTTCTATATGTGATAATCCCATCACACCAGTGGTCTTTATCTCTCTTTTTTTTTTTTCTAAAAAGAAAAGGAACTGCGAGGATGATTTTGGTTCCTGGTATCTCTCACCGTTAAAAAAAAAAAAAAAATATCTCTCACCGTTCACGTGTCCCTCGACATTGCATAAAAACGACTCACTAGTCTTTTGTTAACTAATCTAATTGACAATTGCTAATTGCTAATTGCGAAGGGAGAGAGAGAGTATGATGATGATGCTAAGGCAAAGTGCGAGAAAGGGTTTTCTAGGGCTACGGAATTGGACGAGAGGGCTCGGCGGCGGTCGATTGTACCACGAGAATGTGATCGACCACTTCGAAAACCCTAGGAACGTTGGATCCTTCGACAAGAATGATCCTAGCGTTGGCACAGGACTGGTAGGAGCTCCTCAATGCGGTGACTTGATGAGCCTCCAGATCAAAGTCGACGATTCCGGTCAGTTCATCACTGATACTCGTTTCAAGACTTTTGGCTGTGGCTCCGCCATAGCCTCTTCCTCCGTCGGTATGTCTTCTTCTCTTTTATCCACCAATAGGGCTTGATTCTCGCTTGTTTTTAATTTCATCGATCCGAATTTATTTCCCCCAAATTTTGTTTTTATATATGAATCACTTACTCAAATCCATTAGTGTGCTCTTATGACTGTGGTCGAAGATTTCTTGTTGTGATTCAGAGTCAGATCTGTAAGGCTCTGATTAATTTGTTTTTCTTTTCAGCTTCTGAATGGATCAAGGGCAAAGCGATAAAGGGAACGCGTAAGTGCCCTTTCTTACAATCTGCCAAAGCTCTGCTTAGACATGGATGAGTCATTATTGTTTTGCTTTTTGCTTCCAGGGAAATTGCAAAGCATCTTCGGTTGCCACCCGTTAAGCTGCATTGCAGTATGCTTGCAGAGGATGCTATCAAGGCCGCGGTTAGAAACTACAAGGAGAAGCAAGCAAAGGCTAA